AAATTTGACCTCTGGACTTGTCTTCATGGTGAAAATGACTACCGTATGCAAAAATATGCTGTTTTTTTGAAAAAATTCTTGTTATTATATTTTACATTTTTTAACATCATGATGCTATAACTTTTTAAAAAATGCATGAATCAATTCTATTTTTCAACAATAAATACTTTATATAAACTTTNTTTTCAACAATAAATACTTTATATAAACTTTTTTCATTCGACGTCCTTTTTTTTTAAATCGGACATTTTCCCTTTATACAGGGGGGGTGCAAAGTTTTTAAAATGCGTATAGAAACCCAACCAAACCCAACCCANTCTCCATCAGTACATACAAATGACTCTACAGCTAGTGACAACACCAGTGTAAATAGTAGTATTGCTCTTAACCCAGAACCAACCAAACAATTGGTAAAATCTTTAAAAGGATTAGACTTAAGTTTAAACTATGACCAACCTCCTGTACAACCAAATATAATAACAGTCTGAACGTTTTTAACAGTTAAATTTAAATTTATTTAATTAACTAATTATACATAATTAGTTCAAAACTATGGATTACTCTATTTTTTAATATTTAAAATCTTTATTACCTATCTATTATAATTAATATGAATATTTTAAGCTATACACTATAATAATAATAATACTATAATTTTATTAAAAAAATGGTATGGGGAAGGGGGGAAAATGAGGAATATTATTTGCAGTTAAAACCTATAATTTTAAATCTACTGTTGCCCATACCAAAATTTAGTCCTAGAACCGCGCCTGCGCTATATACTATTTTCTCATCTCTCGTCTCTCGTCTCTCGCTACATACTAAAATCGTAAGCCCATCAAATAAGGTCTACCTGGAAGAGATTTTGCGTTTTTTCCGCTTTAAAATTCACGTTTTTCTCTTTTCGCCGCCTTTTCGGTACCGTTCGACGACGCTTATCGTTACGCGTCTTTTCCTACCTTCGTTAGAATTTTTCGCCTTCAACGTTTTCTTAAATTCGCGAAAAACGCTATTTCCTGGAACGGAAAACGACGCGAAATAAGGGAGCGCGCCTCTCACTCGGCCCGTCGCGTTCCCGCCGTTTCGTCGTTATCAGCGCGTCCGACGTCCGAACGCGTGTTCGTTATGACCATCGCACCGCNCACCATCGCGCCGCCGTTTTGTGCGTCGTCGTTTATTCTGTCGTTATTTCAATATTGCGTATTGACCGTATCCGTTTATTTAATGTGATTTTGTAAATTTTCTACTTCTATGGCGATTATATTATTAATTGTCGATATTGTGACAGTCTCATTTTATTTTGTGATTTTTACACGGCGCCGTTTGTCGTGTGCCCGGAGGACTGCTTCGATAACGAGAGTGCCGGCTCTAACGATCTCTGACAAACGGATTTATCAAACGGATAACGCGTTTTTTTTTCGTTAAAAAACACGACAAAAAACCCGTGCGTTTGACGTTTTCACAACAATTGTAATTCATATATAATTTCAAAATCGTTGTAACGCCAGTATTAATCGATTTGATTTTGTAATTTTCAGAAGGAGTTTGTTGTATCCCGAGGAATGTTTCAATAACGGCTCGCCCCGTAGGCCAATCGGTTCTAATGGATAACGGATTTATTGCACCGGTAATTCATTTTTTTTTTTTTTTTTTTTACAATATTAGTCGGTCAGTAATTAATATAGTTTTTAAATAAATGGTAATGGCACCGATAAATTAATTTTCGTCTTGTAATTTTTAGACTCGCGTCCGTTGTGCCCATACGAATACGCTGGAAATCGCTGATGGTTTTAGTTTTTTATTACGAGGGCAATTCAAATTTACACCGAACCCTAACCGACCCGAAGAGTGCTGGCTCTAATTCATAATCGGTTGTATTGCACGGGTAACCGATTTTTACTTATTTTATTTGAAATAAATTTGCTCGCTTTAATTATAATTCGAATAATTATTAGGTATTTCATTTATTATTGATGACTCTTTATGATTGTTTCTTATTGAAATAATTTATTGACAATTTCACAGCAATCGTAATAATAATAATAATAATAATAATAATAATGTTGTTGTTATATTATATTATGGTAATGGCAATTTTTAGATTGTATCTGTTGTGCCCGGATAACCGAGCTGTAATAATATATTGTAGATATATTATGGTGATGGCAGTTTTAGTTAATTCGATTTTATAATTTTCAGATGGTATCCGTTGTGCTCTGATGACTGTGCTGGAGATTGTTGTTGATAGTTTTAGATTTATTGCACAGGTAATTCTTTTGTTAAAAAAAAGAATATTTATTTTTTATATAATATATTTAATTTAATATATTATATTATATTATATATTATGGCAGTATTAATTAATTTGATTTTGTAATTTTTAGAATGAGTTGGTTGTATCCTGAGGAATGCTTCAATAATGACTCTGCCCGTAGGCCAATCGGTTCTAATGGATAACGGATTTATTACAAGGGTAATTCGTTTTAATTTCTTTAAAAAAAATTATTTATTACTGACTTTTCTTAAAGTAAAGTTTATCTTTTTATATTGTAATTATTAAATTGTGGTAATAACGATTTTCTTTTTTAAATTATTGATATAACTATGGTAATGGAAGTAAAAATTAATTTGATTTTGTAATTTTTTTAAAAATAATCTTTGTTATTCACTCTTCTTAAATTACAGTTAATCTTTTTACATTGTAATCGATTTACTTTGCATATTTCAATCATTAGGTCGATTTGTATTTCATTTATTGGTGTGCAATATGTACTACTACATCAGTCTATATAATCTCTTCCTCTATATATATATCTCCCTCTGTATATATACATTTTTTTTTAAATTTTTTGTTTGCCAGTACTACATTTATATTTCTGATTCTCTTTTTGATTTTTTTCTTATTGTAATGTGTTATTGACAATTTCATAACAATTGCAATAATAATATTGTAGAAATATTATTATTATTATTATATTATGGTGATGGCTGTTTTCATCAATTTGATTTTGTAATTTTTAGACGGTATCTGTTGTGCCACGATAACTAAGCTAGAGATTGATGGCAGTCATCGCTATTGAATTTATTGCAAAGGTAATTAATTTTCATTTGTTAAAAAAAATTTATTCCTATTGACTTTTTTCAAAATAGACTTCATATTTATACATTTTAATCATTAGTTTGATTTGTGTATTATTTATTGGTGCAATATGTACTACTACATCAGTCTATACAATACAATCTATATATATATATATACATTTTTTATTACTATTATTTTTTCACAGCAATTACAATAAAATGATTGTAGATTATATAATATATTATGGTAATGGCTATATTAATTTAATTTGTTTTTGTAATTTTTAGACTGTGCTACCATTGTAGTTCCAGGATAAAGACTGACCTAGAGATTCATGGCAGTCATCGCTATTGAATTTATTGCAAAGGTAATTAATTTTCATTAGTTAAAAAAAATTTATTGCTATTGACTTTTCTTAAAATAGAGTTCATCCTTTTGCATTTTAATCCATTTCTTTAGCATATGTTAATCATTATGTGGATTTGTATTTTGTTAATTGGTGAAGCAATATGTTCTTCATCAGTCTATACAGGGTGGCCCACCACTCACTGACAACTTAAATAACTTTTGATCCAGTTAATATTTTTAGCTGATTTTTTTTTTAAATATTAGTTAGACGTTAGGTCTATAGCTATATCTCAATAATTAATTTTTTTACATTTTATTAAAAATATTAATTATTTTTAAATTTTAAATAAAATGTAAAAAAAAAATCTAAGATAGCTATTTTGTAGAGTAGAATTTAAGAAAAATTTTAGTAAAAAAATAT